TCTTCCTATCATTCATGATCTCATCACTGTCGCTTCCTTCACTTTTCTTCGCCTCCTCGCGCCTCCTCTTCTTTTCTTTCTTACTATTCACTTCTTTAAAATTGTCTATCACTTCTATTGTTGTTGGCCGCGGATTGTCTGCTTCTGATTCACTACTTGAAAGCCTCAGGTCGTCTTCTAAGTTGTTCAGTAGGGCAATCTTTTCTTCTTTAGCCAAAGCCTTCATAGGTTTCTGCCCACCATTCTCCCCAGGCATTGTGCAATGCTTGTGTTCGGTCACAGGCGAGATGGAGAGGCAACGACGTCACTACCAGTCATTCAACGTCACGCTCTTCGCACTGCGCATGCGCAGATACGAAAATAACCGACCAGAGGGTCCAGTCAGGAAGTCCAGATATTTTATCTAAAATATTGTCTAAGTCCAGAAACTATAAATTTCACAAGCGACACTGTGCTTACAACTGGGCTCCACTTTAGTTCTCTAAACAGACTGAAGGTAGTCGTCTCACTAAATTCATCAGAATTGGGAATTGTAGGGAGAGCTCACTCACAGCCTTTGTTGACGTTTCACGGTGCGCATGTCGAATGAGCTGTGAGAGAGGTCAAGGACCACCTCTGTGCTGTACCCAGGAGAGACGGATCGCGTGACCTGGTTCCTTCGTTTATTTAACATCAGTATTAACAAGTAAGTTTTATTCAATCTCAGACAAAGCTAGATAGGGCGGGAGGAACAAACGGTGATGTGAGACAATAGCTAACAGCCCGGGTTTTTCAGGGTTCTGTAGACCCCACGCCGTATGATAACGTCCACTGGCGGTATGAGACACAAGTGGTGAAGCGAGCTGTATGACCGTCCACTGACCTGGGTTTGAGCCACCTGTTGAGTATGGTGAGAGTTGGAGTGAACCCAGCTGTCTAGGTGCCCAACTAACGACGTGACGATCGTTTGGGGTCATCAACTCTCCTCTACCTCGGCTCACAATACCACATATCTTCATGCAGCTTAGTGAAAACCTTTTACTAACGGGAAGCTAAAGCTTCTCTCAACTGTACAAGGTCTGAGGGGCTCACTCCCTTCCGTTTTCATGGATGTACTGGGGGTAAAGTGAAGCCAGCTGAGTGATACAGGGTCACACACTGGGACCAAGAGTCCAGTGGAACTTAGAGGTACATTTCCAAGGTTGAGAAAGGCTGGTTTGGGCCTTAAACTACGGCTGCCTGTTGGTTGTGCCTTAAAAAACTACGGAGTGCAGGTGGAATCTGTGTGTGTGTTAGGTTAGGAAGCATGGTTCACGGGTATTGGTGGACTCAGTAACTTCTTAATAATAGTGATAATATTTTTGTGTGTACTTAATACTATTTTTTCAGTTACTAATGTATGCTGTGTGCATTTAATATTTTCTTATAATTCCGATCTCAGGTATAACCTTTGTTCCCCAGAGTAGTGTTTAAGTTAGGTTAGGAAGTGTGCATCTGTTGGGGTGATATAATTTTGTTGAGTGCCCTTAAGGCCTATTCATTGTAGAGTTATTAATTTCTATTTTTTATACCATTTTCTCATTCTTTACTGATCCTCATGATCCCTGATAGGTTCTGAAGAACAATCATGCATGCAGCTAAACCAATTACTTCCCAATCCAGTTTGTGTAAGAGTTCTACTCCTGATTTTTTAAAGATTTCCAATTTCTACCGATAAATATTTTTGTTGCTATGTTAGAATTTAATATATATTATTACAAAGTTATATGAAGCGTGAACCATTTCTTTCACCCATCCTCTTATAAATTCTAATATATTTTCTTCTATCATGTCTTAAGATAGGAACACAAACTTCGGGTAATGAAATTAGCAATTTAGAAAAAAAATATCAGCAGCTCTTAGCACACTAAGCTTCGTTACTTGAGTGTTAAATGTCTTCATCAGACTAGTTTTGTGAAAATCTACTTCCATTAAGTTGCCCCCGACATTTTCTTTGTAAAACATTGCTAGCATAAGTGTTCTAAAAACGTCTAAGATGAAATTTATGCCATGGAAGAATGAGAAACCTTGTGAAACAAACAAAATGTGTTATTCCACAAGACCGATTCAATGATTTGAGTAAAAAAGGTTATCTGAAAACGTATTTATGAGCTTACTGACAAAAACACCTATAATTTTCAATACCAATCAGATTGGGAGTGTGGTAATTGATATAAAGAGTGGTTTTAATAAACTTATTCCGTTTTTTAACTTATGAAAATCAGTGTTGTCGGCCTGAAGCTATGACGTCACCACAGCCACTTGAGTGAGTACTGTACTTGGTTTTATTTGAATTTATTAAGTAACGATTCATTCAGTACAAGCATACGTATAAAAACATTGGCAATACTTCACTTTATTGCTGTAGGTTTTTTCAGTTATTTTTCCGCGGACTTTAATAATTTGAACACTGTCCTAACCTAAACTAACCTAACCTACAGTATATTAAAGGAACACGGTAAATTTTTGCATTTTCACCCAATATGTCTCTCGAGTTGAGCAGAATGTTCTTCCGGGAGCACTATTTAAACTCCCCGTTAAGGTGTGGGGGTGCTTCATTCGCCTTGGTGACACTAAGCAACGTGTTGGCGGACCTGTCAGCCACAAAATACTAAAAATAACCCCAAACAACTTTTAAAAACCCGATCTAACCTAACCTAACCTTATTCTTGTTTTTGGTGTTTAATGTGTTGGTGTATTTTTCGGTGTTCAGGTGAGGGGATCCATGAACTCAAAAACAGTTTTTAACCTTTTTAAAGGTTCGGTTAGGTCAGGTTTTCAAAGGTTTGTTTGGTGTTCTTTTTAGTATTTTACCTCACATTTTCCCTCTATTTCAAAGCTCCATTAACCACCAGACTTGGGCCGTTGGTACACTCTGATATGCAGCCCATGGACTGTTTCGCAGCTGCGGCCGCCAAGTGAAAACATTTACCGAGGATAGTACATGGAGTGGTATTGTTTTATGTTGAACCAATATGCAGCTGAAGGTTAGGTTAGGTTAGAAACAAATTATTTCCGACAAAAAACAATATCCAAATGGAATAAAACAAAAAACTATCGGAAAAACACATTGCTCAACTCGAGAGCCATATTGGTTGAAAATGCAAATTTCCCCATGAAGTATTTATTATTAATTATTTCCAGCGTGGTCCTATCTTCTTAAGTAAAAATACTATGACAAATTTATCATATCCCATTAACATACTTTTTAATACAAAAAATGTAAAGTAATATTTGACGAGAGTGATCCGGCCTTAGCAACTACCTTACGAAATGTCTCCACAGAAAATAAAAACTTTCTTAATTATAATCATACAATAATAATTCAGCATAAATATAGACATGTACGTATACAGTCCGTAGGCCGAGGGAATTTAGTTTCTTGTGTGCCTAGACAGTGCCGGTAAACAACAATGGTACACAGTAAGGCAGCTTGACCAAGGATAACTGTCAGCTGGTTATTTCCAGGAGGGTCCTTTACTTGGGCTTAAGCTTGGTCTCTTATGAGTAATAGTATTTCTACAGGAGCATTAGTGGGGGTTTATTTGATAAATTCAACAAGCATTATATTGTACTTGGACTATACGAGGCTGGCGGATCACTTCAACATTAAGTGGTTAATAATATAGAAACTCACTCTCTTCTCTTGCTGTAGCTTCGTCTGTTATGTATTTTTGTAGTTTTAGTTTTGAATTGTTTGTTACTGGTTTTGATGTGGTCTGGTAACAGTCCGTTATAACTGTGAAGAATAAAGTGTAATTCGGTGGATCGCGGACACCAGGTCTTCACTCCAACGATCCTTACAAAGATTTCTGTTAGATACTCTGGCCACAGTCCAGTGAACATCCTTTAAGCGTGATTCACAGCCAAACGTTTAGTCGAAAATTTGTGTCCGCGAATCGTATCTTGGGGATACCGTTTTTAGCATTTTTTTTCCGAAAGTATTTGAACAAATTCATCTCTACATACATATACCGTATTATTGGATTTGTACTTATTAAAAGACTGAGAAGTAGAAACTCATTATACAGACATTTTCAATATTGTTTACCGAAAAATTAATACTTCTTTGTACTGTAGGTAACCGCTATGCACCTCTTCTGAAGTAATACTTTGTAATTTTTTATAGTTTTGGGTACGGTAGTAGTCAGCTTAGCTTAGCTTAGCTTGGTAATTGTGAAACGTGAGAATATCGAACACAGGCCACCACTGATTATGCTCACATAAACTAATGGACTCGTATATACACGAGTTTTCCAACTTAATATCCCAGCTACGTAGCCTTCAGTCTGTCCAGCTGGGATTTCCGGGCCAAGTAGCCACTTCCAATAATTAACGAGGTCGTTTAACATTTCACGTTGCTTAACACTGATGTTATGAGTTATTTGTTGGTACAGTGGTGTTTTAGTCTCAGATGACAACTTTAGTCTGTGCTGTAGTGAGGTTGCTGTTATCCCTTCAGGCGATAACTTACAGAAATATTCTTACCTACATGACTGTCGCTTACACCAGGGATGTTTGTAATGCATTGTATTGTATTATATTGTATGTATTGCATCACACTAATATCTTCCTTGATTATATCAGATCTTTTAAAAATTGTCAGGCCACTGAGACAGCGTAGGCTCTCAATTGGCTCAGCCTTGTCAACATTGTTATTGTTGTCCTCTCTGTATCTGTGTTTTTCTGGGTAAATATACTGCTTCAATATCAACACTTTAGTAGAGTGATAGTCCACCTTATCCCTGTATGTACAGTATATATGAGAAAGTGTGAGGCTCATGTTGCTGCAAATACCTGAATGAGCTCATATATATATATATATATATATATATATATATATATATATATATATATATATATATATATATATATATATATATATATATATATATATATATATATGTGTGTGTGTGTGTGTGTGTGTGTGTGTGTGTGTGTGTTACACTAACGCCATGGCTGGGACAGAGATGATAAACATATTGATACTTGCTTCTTTATTTACTAACGTTAAGGTTATCGTAGTAACCATCGTAGAATGATATAGAGAAAAAGAAACAACAGTATACAGAGAAGGTGAACCACAAATATACAAAATGTAATTAATTAATACGGTGTCCGCCCCTCTGCCGGTGTGAAGGTGACCACACTGTCCCTCCTCACCCCTTCACTACGTGGACGTCTCTTAATACTTTATTTGACCAGATGATTTTGTACGGCAGAGAGGGGAGCCTATGCGATAGTGGTTATCAGGTTTATATTCCCATTCTACAGAGACCAATAATAATTGAGGGAAGTCATTCAGCACACATCGTTGTCAGTCGTTCTTATGTAATGACAATAAACATCACCCAATCAAAACATGAATGAAAATGGGTTGTCACGTTTACTGTATAGCTTCTTGTGTAAAGCAACAAGAGGTGATTAAAACCTTTCTTGTTCATCTTGAGGGACGTTGTTGTGTCTCGTGAGAGTCTTATTGAAGGAGTAGTCATTGTGGCTGTCGAGTTCATTATTGCTTATGCTTGGGCAATTTGATGTGTCATGGTGTGTTGGCCTGAACGATGAGCCGTCTTGAATGTCTTGGTCTTCCTTGCGTATGTTAAAGCACTTGGGTGTGTTTTGCCACAGCCAGTGATGGAGCCGCTCACAGGAGGGGCTCACCAGCTCGCTTGCCACTTCACCTGGCTTCAACACACCTGCCGGCCAAGTATAATAACACATATTATAACTTATTGTACAGTTCGTGACTTTGTTAACTATTAATGTTGTTCTACAAAAGAAAAACAAACTATACAGTACTTGACACTTTCATAAGACTTACCTGGTACATTTATGTCTGAAATTTAAAATCATGACATTTAGAAACTCTGGCAACATTGTTTAAAACTTCAAAGCTTCTGGAAAGATGTAAACATTCTTCAAGGCTTCTGGAAAGATGTAAACATTCTTCAAGGCTTCTGGAAAGATGTAAACATTCTTCAAGGCTTCTGGAAAGATGTAAACATTCTTCAAGGCTTCTGGAAAGATGTAAGCATTCTTCAAGGTTTTCTTTTTTTCTGAGAGGAGCAAGTTTTTGTTTACATCTCCGGGATCACCCCACACTATTATTTCGGGAACATTTTCTCATTTTAGCAATACAAATTTATTGCAAATATACTTAAAGTCTCACTTTTACAAAAAAATTAAATTAAAAAATAAATCATGAAGACTGGACCATACTTGGGGTCACAAGGTGTTTCCCAGGTACAGGCATATAAACAGCGGACACTTGTTACCTGTTGACTACCCTCCTCAGACTAGATACATTAACATTAGTTTTACAACTCTCCACACCACAGGCAGCTACGACTCGATCTTCTTTTAAGTCACATGGATCCGTTTCTTTTCTTTAGTAAACCAGCCGAGTCACCTCACTGTAGAAATTCAGTGTACCAACCCCACTGTTACCTTTTTCCGGGTATTAAGTATGGTAAAAATTACCCGGGTGCTTCACTTCTCTCTGGCTCACTATAGAACTAAAACACGGGAAGGCTACTGCTCGTGAGTAGGTAACATAACAACAACACTTATACTGCACCTCCCTGTAACTATGTGGAAAGCATCAGACGTAAACACAGAATAATTTTTATACATTAAAATATCATAAAATAAAGACCATAGATTAAATACTACGGAGCTCTAACGACTTTTTTGTGTTCGTCCGCCAGCCAATCACCTGCCTTGCTACACACTGACCCCAGACCTCAGTTGGGAGCTTGGGGTGAACACAGTAACACACTATTTATGAACATTTCCCCAGTGCTCAACCTTCAGCAGTTATATATTATTATTATTACGTTTGGTAATTATTAAATTTCTAACGACCGGTGAATTAATAGTTAAACCCAATATTGAGGGACTTGATGTGTGGTAGATTATATGTTACTTGGCTGGGTCGTACACTACACTCCTCGTGACTGAATAATCCTGTATGTTGGGGCATAGTACACCAGGAAGCTGCAGTATATACGGTATAGTATTAATATGTAACGGACGTACAGTAGCTAAAACAACTATCTGTGCAGGTGGGGGTCGATATGCTCCGAAATTTTACGTGTGACTAGTGACAGCCCTCATATACCAAAATTTATCGTCCATGGTCTCATATTGTTTCCCACAAAGTATGCACAGATAGTTGTGTTAGCTCCTGTACAGTACTAGTTGATTCGGGGTTAGACGGGGAGCTAAGCGAAAATGTCCATCCACAATTTGTGACGAGAGAAGATATTAGCAATGGAGTAATAAAAGTAGTATTTAATGTTTATTGTGTTGGTGATATAGTGTTCTTATTGCATGTTGTGAATAGTTTACGTTATACAGGTGGTTGTAATGATTACATACAAATTTAAAGATAAATGTTTAAATAAAAGTTATAATAGGAAACAGTTGGAAAATTGTGCTGATTTGGGACGTGACGTTATTTGTGGTGGTAGATATGAAAGAGAAATGAAATGAAGAACAAGTAATAAAAACTGCAGTTAGTATTTTTCTAAGAACTTAAAATATAACCCAGGTCAGCACAGTTGTTCACATCACAAATATGAACATTTTCAGCTGACAGTAATAAACTTGGGTAAAGCAATTAATGAAATATTGAACATTTATAGAATTAGAACAATGGTAATGTTAACACTAGGAAGAAAGAGAGTGAATAAGTTATGTCTTACCGGTAAAGAGAGAGACGATGCTGGCAACAACCATATTGATGATGATGCCTGATATGCCGATGTAACAGTAAGACACGTCGTATATGCCTAAGTCCTCAGATCTGTTAACAACAAACATAGTTCTCTTTACTCTTTATGTGGTGACAGTAATTTTGTTACAGAGACTCAGTTTAGTTTTAGAGAAGGAAGGTTAATTGACACTGTCCTATCCCCCCCCCTCTCTGCTAAGGCCATTATTACCTCCATTAATAACTACAGGAAGGTTAACTGACACTGTCCTATCCCCCTCTGCTAGGGCCATTATTACCTCCATTAATAACTACAGGAAGGTTAATTGACACTGTCCTATCCCCCCCCCTCTCTGCTAAGGCCATTATTACCTCCATTAATAACTACAGGAAGGTTAACTGACACTGTCCTATCCCCCCCCCCCATTAATAACTAGTTTACCCAGATTATTATGGCGGTAAGGGTCCATCAGCCAGTAATCTCCTTGATTGTAAGGGCGGAAACGACCTTCCTGCTTGTTACCGCTGCTAACTCTCTCGTTTGCCGGTGCGGACAACACTTAAGGTGGTTGGGCAGAGGTGAGAACTGCAGCTGCTACCCCGGACACTGGCAGATTGACTCCAGCCGCCATACAGTCACTATCTAACTTCCCGGCTGTTCGTCAAATTCTGGCTGTGATCTCATTATAGGTCGTGGGCTGTGTCCCCAGACCTTCACTTATCGACTGACAATTCTCTGTTCATCTACCACGACCGTCAGTTCATCTCATTCCGTCTGTGCCCAGGTGTTCTCCTGCCATTTCAAGACGTCTCTCGAGTGTGGAGTTGAATGGACGCTTCCCTACCTTGAGTGTGGATCATCGTGTTCCAGAACCTTCTCCCAGGGGCCACTGTCGTAGGAAATATCTGTTCATTGTTTGATTCTATCAGTTGTTGAATCCCATTAATTGTTTGATTCTATTAATTGCTGACTCCCATTAATTGTTTGCTCCCTTTAATTGTTTGCTTCCATTATTGTTTGACTCCATTAACTGTTGACTGCCTTAATTGTTTGACTCCAGTAATTGTTGTTTGTTGAGTAGTGTCAGAGTTTTGTGTTATATTTTTTATAGTAAAGAGATGTCAATCTCGAACGGTTGTTTGTTATTCCTCGGAAAACCCTGGTCCTTGACTTTCCTTTATTAAGATCCTGGTTAGTCTGGTAAGGGATTTCTATCCCTAATCCCCCAGGCCTTTACACTGATGTATACATATTTCCAGACGATAGTGATCTGTACATGAGCCACACACATCCTCACTCTTTAAGAACTAATGTCAGGAGCTGGGTAATATGTCATGAACTAACCAACAACCCCATATCAAAGAAAGTGTCGGACCTTAGAATTGAGACGTGAACAGAGTGTTAAATGACCTGATGGCCAACTAAACTGGAGTAGCCACAATGAAGTCATTAACAGTAAAGTTAGTAAGAAATGAGGCTTCGTGTACCTCATTCGTCACTATTGAAACAAACATATTCATTGTTCTCTCAGGCACCAGTATGACGACACTGGAGGTTCTTGTCGAGGTAACGGTCTTTCAACACAAACTTAGTTGACAAAACCGACAACACGAGCGAAGGTTTTGTTAAAGTTAAGATGTTACAATTCATATTTACTAATATTTACCACCTGACTGACTGAGGCCACCCCCATGAGGTCTTCTCGGTCCCTAACCTCCAGAGACCTGGACCTGGACCGTGAAGGTGTGCACCAATGTATCCTGACAGCAGACAATATTTGTATTCCTTTACACAATTCATTATATTATTAAGATATATATTTCGCGTCATATACATCAGGATGTACTGTACATTTTTTCAGGGAGCCGAACAATAACCGATCAATATTGTTCCGGTAGCCAGTGGTCGCCGGGGGTAATAACTTATAGTAAGAAACGGCTCTGTTTACTTTTCGAGTGAATAAAGCTTCGCTACAATTCTGTACGTGGTGACTTAACATATTTAGTAACAATGACTTGATGTATTCATCCTCTTTACATCAGTACACATAGTCTACCATATTCTCCTCATGTTATTAAGTTTATCCTTCAGTCTACAGTTGTGACGTAGTTCAAGCCTATCAGTAATTAACTAACAATCCTATCAGTAATTAACTAACAATTGTAGACGTAGGTGGCCTAACATCGGGCAGATTGTCTTGATCAACATAAAGATATACCAGTAACTTGCGCGAAGCTTAGTCACAACTCTGTACAGATGCACCGCGGTAAACTACTGGTATCATGACGGATAAGGTCAGCTTAAGCTTTAGTTTCTGGCCAGATATGTGAACCATGAGCGAGGGAGGCAGCTGTGGTGTCTGGTATCCGAGGGTTATCGAGAGTTTAGTTGTATATAGTTATTATAAGTGACTTATTTACGTCATTGGTGTACTTAAATGTCACTTAAATGTCATCTCCGTGGACTTGCTTAACGGGACACTTACAACACCAGCAAGTGCAGCGGACGTAATATTGGAAGAACAAATACTGTCAACGTATACAGCCTTAACAACAACCTAGAGAAGTCGACTTGTGAAAGAGACCTAGGGGTACTTGTAAGCCCGGACCTGCGGCCTAGAAAACAGTGCGTAAATGTTCGAAATAAGGCAAACAGAGTATTCGGTTTTATATTTAGAAACGTAAGTAATAAGAGTGCAGAGGTCTTATTGCAACTATATCTTGCGCTAGTCAGGCCGCACCTCGATTATGCGGTTCAGTTCTGGTGCCCTTATTAAAGAATGGATATCAATTTACTGGAGTCGGTGCAGCGAAGAATGACGAAAATAATTCCGGGACTTAGAAACCTTCCATATCAAGATAGGTTAAAGAAACTATACTTGCATTCCCTAGAAAGACGAAGAGTGCGGGGAGATATGATAGAAGTATTTAAGTGGGTGAAAGGAATCAATAAAGGGGATATAGATAAAGTTCTTATAATATTCTAGCAGGATAGGACTCGGAGCAACGGATTTAAGTTGGATAAGTTTAGGTTTAGGAAGGAACTGGTTCACAAATAGGGTGGTGGACGTGTGGAACAAGCTTAGCAACTTTGTAGTAAGTGCTGGAACGCTGGAAAGTTTTAAAAGGAGGCTAGATAGATTCATGGATGATAGTGGTAGTAACTCTCGACAGGAGCTGCCATGCACAGGCCAACCGGCCTATTACAGACTCCTTATGTTCTTAAAGGCCCGTCCACACGATCGAGCAGTGCCCGGCGGGCACGTGCTAAATGCCCGTTATCAGGCAAAATTGGTGGGCAAACCAGCGGAGTGCCCGTCGTCTAGCGAAATCATGGTCAGCCTGCCTGTTGGTTTGCTGCCGGATATGGAGGGACGTCTTTAAGTACTGCAAATGTGACAAGTATATGTTCCCCGCTCGGTCCAGATGTCCAGCGTATAACCAAATAAACTTATGCAATGTACATTATTGGCGTGACAATAAACGGGAGATTGTTTATGTATTATGTAATGGGAACATTCGTGTGTGTTCTTCTTTCCTGCCGCTCTCCTCACTCTAGTCCCATGGCTTCCTGTCTATGCATATCATAATTCTAACATTATTCAATGAATTTTTATGTATTACAAATCTCACCTGCAAGTAATCTTCCTTGAGTACTTCATACATGGCTTGACAAGTTGCAGGTATTATGCGAGACAAACTTTATTTTGATATCCTCGTTCTATACTGAAGTGACGTGTAGGTGCACCCAGTTGAAAGATATGAGCATTGACTCTAGACGAGCCTCTACAGATATACGCTCCCTCATATTGGTATCCTGTTTTTTTTATATATGGTTCCATTTTCCCTAGAAGTTTGTCAAAGGTGTTGGGTCCATTCTCATGTAATTGGTGAAGTCTTGCTCATGTCCATCTTGTCCATCTTGCAGTTCACGTAAAATCGTGGCATGACTTCACAATACTTTTCTTCGACCTAACCAATCTTTGCACCATTCCCTTTTCTGCATTTGGTTCTTCTTTTTGCACATAGCAGCAATTATTATAGTACACAACGCTATGCTCTTCGCTTTAACTGTCCGGCGATTATTCCTGCGACACACTATGGTGATCGTACCGCACCCGCCACTGCCAACCACCTACTAGCTACCGGCGCCAGACTATGACTGCCGCCAACCACCCCCGTGTGTACAACAACACACAGGCTTTGCCTGGTAAAGGGGCAAAGCCCGTCGGGCACTGCTCGATCGTGTGGACGGGGCTTTATGGTTCACGGTCGAGTCAGGTCAGACCCCTGGTGCCATAACTTGATCTCATTATAACACCAAATAATCTTCTGAAGGATACTGATGTATACTGAAGTGTGTGGCTCCTTAGGTTGAGTCCTGTGATGATCTCCGCTAGGCCAGGTATTCACGCTCCCACCCTCGCATATTATATTTTCTGGCACCATCGTTTAGTTACATTGTTCACTCGCCGAAAACAGTACGCGCCACAACAAAATTTAGCGGAAATAATGATATGTTTTAAGTATAGAGCAACAGAAACGAGCAGTTATTAACAGGACACGACCTACTATATACTGTACATGTATAAATAATTCCAGAAAATAAACACAATGTTCCTAAATGTTACGTCTATAATTGAAAAGTGTAAGTTGTCGGCTGAGACGTCGGGTGGACCATTGTTGTCACACGAGACATTAATGGTGAAGCAGCAGCCTGAAGAAAGAGTTTAGTGGCGCTGTACAGTACTGTGTCGAGAATAGCAGACGGGTATAAGAGCCTAGACCAATGCTGACCCTACTGTACGTGTACAATGCTTTAATGTACAGCACAGTATTTCACCTGTACAGTACCTCAAGAAACTAATACATAAAGACATGTTATTGCATTATCACGTGGAGGAGGAGGAGCTTAAATAAAACTTATAGGATAATCTGTGGTGTAGCTGTAGGTAAATATAATTAATGGACGGCTTGAAAATGTATAATGAATAATAGTAGTTTAAGAAATCAACTCACATGAGGTTAGTCGCCATTGATTTAAATATTATCTACTTTAATGGCGGTAATATGAGGTGGTGACGTTCCTCTACAAGCAGGTGACTGGTAGAAGTGGTCTGTTTACCGTCCTACATCAGTTTAGTGTGACTTATAACTCTACAAGAACTTGACTTATGTGGGGTGGACCTAACCTCACAATTGTCTCTTTTATTACAAGTTAAAACTAAACACCTCGGGGAACAACTTTCTATCAGTCAGCGTTGTGCACCAGCTTGGGTTAACTTAAGACAAGTGAAGAATACGTAATATTTGTTACTAACTCATCAACTGAAGTGGTGTTTGATAATAGAGCATCAGTGAAGGAGGTGTTGAGAAAGACACCCTGGCAGCCGTGGGTGGAGAGTGGGAGGCGGGGTGGTGAGCCTCCACCTTGTATAAACTTGCCAATCACCAGCCACAGGCTATATATGGTGGCCATGGAGAACCCAACAGTAGTTCCCTGTAGAGAGAATAATGAAAACCTTTACAAAACACTGACGTAATGAGAAACTATGAGGGAGTCTGAAAAACTTACTACCTACTTACCCTTGACTGAGCCGCTGCTAATACGTCAGTCAACAGTAAAGTAACAGATAACAAGAGCTTAATATAGCCACACATCTACAACTGTTACCGTTCACATGTAACCTGGAGACAGTCATCACTACTGGGGACTATCAATAACCTTTCACATGTAACCTGGAGACAGTCATCACTACTGGGGACTATCAATAACCTTTCACATGTAACCTGGAGACAGTCATCACTACTGGGGACTATCAATAACCTTTCACATGTAACCTGGAGACAGTCATCACTACTGGGGTCTATCAATAACCTTTCACATGTAACCTGGAGACAGTCATCACTACTGGGGACTATCAATAACATTATCAGTCTAGTTAAACCAACAACAGTATATAAAGACCGTGGTGTTGTTGACCCAGGGAGAATACTGTACCGTGGTGTTGACCCAGGGAGAATACTGTACCGTGGTGTTGACCCAGGGAGAATACTGTACCGTGGTGTTGACCCAGGGAGAATACAGTACCGTGGTGTTGACCCAGAGAGAATACTGTACCGTGGTGTTGACCCAGGGAGAATACAGTACCGTGGTGTTGACCCAGAGAGAATACTGTACCGTGGTGTTGACCCAGGGAGAATACAGTACCTTGGTGTTAGCCCAGGGAGAATACAGTACCTTGGTATTAGCCCAGGGAGAATATAGTACTTTGATGTTAGCCCAGGGAGAATACAGTACCTTGGTGTTAGCCCAGGGAGAATACAGTACCTTCATGTTAGCCCAGGGAGAATACAGTACCTTGGTATTAGCCCAGGGAGAATACAGTACCTTGGTATTAGCCCAGGGAGAATACAGTACCTTCACGTTAGCCCAGGGAGAATACAGTACCTTGGTATTAGCCCAGGGAGAATACAGTACCTTGGTATTAGCCCAGGGAGAATACAGTACTTTGGTTTTAGCCCAGGAAGAATACAGTACCTTGGTGATAGCCCAGGGAGAATACAGTACCTTCATGTTAGCCCAGGGAGAATACAGTACCTTGGTATTAGCCCAGGGAGAATATAGTACTTTGATGTTAGCCCAGGGAGAATACAGTACCTTGGTGTTTGCCCAGGGAGAATACAGTACCTTGATGTTATCCCAGGGAGAATACAATACCTTGGTGTTAGCCCAGGGAGAATACAGTACCATGGTGTTGACCCAGAAAGAATACAGTACCTTGGTGTAAGCCCAGGGAGAATACATTACGTTGATGTAAACACAGGGAGACTACAGTTCCTGGGTGTTAGCCCAGGGAGAATACAGTACCTTGCTGAAGGCACAGGGAGAATACCATTCCTTGGTGTTTGCCCAGGGAGAATACAGTACCTTGGTGTTGACACAGGGAGAATACAGTACCTTGATGTTAGACATAGGGAGAATACAGTACCTTAGTGTTAGCCCAGGGAGAATACAGTACTTTGGTGCTGACCAAGGGAGAATACAGTACCTTGGTGTTGACCCAGGGAGAATACAGTACCTTGGTGTTGACCCAGGGAGAATACAGTACCTTGGTGTTAGCCCAGGAATAAAACAATACCTTGGTGTTAGCCAAGGGAGAATACAGTACCTTTGGTGATAGCCCAGGGAGAATACAGTACCTAGGTGTTAACCTAGGGAGAATACAGTATCTTGATGTCAGCCCAGGGAGGACACAGTACCTTGGTGTTAGCCCAGGAAGAATACAGTACCTAGGTGCTAGCCCAGGGAGAATACAGTACCTTGGTGTTGACCCAGGGAGAATACAGTACATTGGTGTTAGCCCAGGGAGAATACAGTACATTGGTGTTAGCCCAGGGAGAATACAGTACCTTGGTGTTAGCCCAGGGAGAATACAGTACATTGGTGTTAGCCCAGGGAGAATACCGTACCTTGGTGTTAGCCCAGGGAGAATACCATACCTTGGTGTTTGCCCAGGGAGAATGCAGAACCTTGGTGTTGACCCAGGGAGAATAGAGTATCTTGGTGTTAGCCCAGGGAGAATACAGTACCTTGGTGTTTGCCCAGGGAGAATACAGAACCTTGTTGTTGACCCAGGGAGAATACAGTACCTTGGTGTTAGCCAAGGGAGAATACCATACCTTGGTGTTTGCCCAGGGAGAATACAAAACCTTGGTGTTGACCCAGGGAGAATACAGTACCTTGATGTTAGCCCAGGGAGAATACAGTACCTTGTTGTAAGCTCAGGGAGAATACAATATTTTGGTGTTGACCCAGGAAGAACACAGTACCTTGGTGTTAGTGTAGGGAGAATACAGTACCTTGGTGTGAGCCCAGGGAGAATACAGTATCTTGATGTCAGCCCAGGGAGGACACTTTACGTTGGTGTTAGCCCAGGGAGAATACAGTACCTTGGTGCTAGAACAGGGAGAATAGAGTACCATGGTTTTAGCCCAGGGCGAATACACTACCTTGGTGCTGATCCAGGGAGAATATAGTACCTTAGTGTTAGTCCAGGGTGAGTACGGTACCTTGGTGTTAGCCCAGGGAGAATACAGTAACTTGCTGTTGACCCAGGGAGGACACAGTACGTTGGTGTTAGCCCAGGGAGAATACAGTACCTTGGTGCTAGAACAGGGAGAATAGAGTACCATGGTTTTAGCCCACGGCGAATACACTACCTTGGTGCTGATCCAGGGAGAATATAGTACCTTAGTGTTAGTCCAGGGTGAGTACAGTACCTTGGTGTTAGCCCAGGGAGAATACAGTAACTTGCTGTTGACCCAGGGAGAATACAGTACCTTGGTGTTGACCTAGGGAGAATACAGTACCTTGGTGTTAGCCCAGGGAGAATGCAGTACATAGGTGTTAGGCCAGGGAGAATACAGCACATAGGTGTTAGCCCAGGGAGAATACAGTACCTTGGTGTTAGCCCAGGTAGAATACAGTACCTTGGTGTTGACCCAGGGAGAATACAGTACCTTGGTGTTAGACCTAGGGAGAATACAGTGCCTTAGTGTTAGCCAAGGGAGAATATAGTACTTCTGTGCTGACCCAGGGAAAATACAGTACCTTGGTGTTGACCCAGGGAGAATACAGTACATTGGTGTTAGGTCAGGGAAAATACAGTACCTTGGTTTTAGCCCAGGGAGAATACAGTACCTTGCTGTTAACCCAGGGAGAATATAGTACCTTGTTCCAGGGAGAATACAGTACCTTGGTGTTAGCACAGGGAGAATACAGTACCTTGGTGTTGACCCAGGACGAATACAGTACCGTGGTGTTAGCCCAGGGAGAATACAATACCTTGGTGTTAGCCCAGGGAGAGTACAGTACCTTGGTGTTGACCCAGGGAGAATACAGTACCTTGATGTTAGCCCAGGGAGAATACAGTACCTTGATGTTAGCCCAGGGAGAATACAGTACCTTGGGGTTAGCGTAGGGAGAATACCGTACCTTGGTGTTAGCCCAGGGAGAATACAGTACCTTGATGTTAGCCCAGGGAGAATACAGTACCTTGATGTTGACCCAGGGAGAATACAGTACCTTGATGTTAGCCCAGGGAGAATACAGTACCTTGGGGTTAGCCCAGGGAGAATACCGTACCTTGGTGTTAGCCCAGGGAGAATACCATTCCTTGGTGTTTGCCCAGGGAGAATACAGTACCTTGGTGTTGACCCAGGGAGAAAACAGTACCTTGGTGTTAGCCCTAGGGAGAATACAGTACCTTAGTGTTAGCCCAGGGAGAATACAGTACTTCTGTGCCGACCCAGGGAGAATACAGTACCTTGGTGTTGACCCAGGGAGAATACAGTACCTTGGTGTTAAGTCAGGGAGAAAACAGTACCTTGGTGTTAGCACAGGAAGAATACAGTACCTTGGTGTTAGCCCACGGAGAATACAATACCTTGGTGTTAGCCCAGGGAGAGTACAGTACCTTGGTGTTGACCCAGGGATAATACAGTACCTTGGTGTTAGCCCAGGGAGAATTCAGTACCTCGGTTTTAGCCTAGGGAGAATACAGTACCTTGGTGTTAGCCCAGGGAGTAACCCCGTACCTTGGTGTTGACCAAGGAAGAATACAGTACCTTGGGATTGACCCAGGGAGAATACAGTACCTTGGTGTTAGACCAGGGAGAATACAGTACCTTGGTGTTAGCACAGGGAGAATACAGTACCTTGGTGTTAGACCAGGGAGAATACAGTACCTTGGTGTTAGCCCAGGGAGAATACTGTACCATGGTGTTAGCCCAGGGAGAATACAGTACCTTGGTGTTAGCCCAGGGAGAATACAGTACCTTCGTGTTAGCCCAGGGAGAATACGGTACCTTGGTGTTGACCCAGGGAGAATACAGTACTTGGTGTTAGCCCAGGGAGAATACAGTACCTTGGTGTTGCCCCATGGAGAATTCAGTACCTTGGTGTTGACCCATGGAGAATTCAGTACCTTGGTGTTAGCCCAGGGAGTACACATGCCGGTGAGGAAGACGCCAACAGAGGGTCCCACGACAGCGCTAAGGATGCTCTGGGTGACGTTGAAGATGTCGCCAAGGTTTCTGACCATGATCGCTACGCCCAGACCTACACCTCCACACGCTACACCTGCATGATACAAGTTCTGCGTCTATCATGCTACCTTCACTACCACCTGTCAATAATGTTATCTTTACTCCCGGTCTCTTTCGGGGTACCCCTCGGTCTGTCGGTGTATCTCTCAGTTTGTCGGTGTACCCTTCGGTGAACACACACACACACACACTGAAGAATGACTCCTTGACCTACAGTGATATGCAAAGGTTTGGGATAACTGGTCCACGTGAGAGTGTCTGGTGGGGATATAGGTGGGTGGAGGGTATAGGTGGGTTGGGGGTATAGGTGGGTGGGAGTATAGGTGGGTAGGAGGCATAGGTGGGTGGGGTTATGGTTCGGTGGGGTTATCGGTGCGTGGGGGGTATAGGTGGGTGGGGGTATAGGTTGGGGGTATAGGTGGGTGGGGGTATATGTCGGTGGGGGTATAGGTGGGAGGGTATAGGTGGGTTGGGGGTATAGGTGGGTGGGAGTATAGGTGGGTAGGAGGCATAGGTGGGTGGGGTTATGGTTCGGTGGGGTTATCGGTGCGTGGGGGGTATAGGTGGGTGGGGGTATAGGTTGGGGGTATAGGTGGGTGGGGGTATATGTCGGTGGGGCTGTATAGGTGGGTCAAAGGTTAACTGTGGTCAAAGGTTAACTGTGGTCAAAGGTTAACTGTGGTCAAAGGTTAACTGTGGTCAATGGTTAACTGTGGTCAATGGTTAACTGTGGTCAATGGTTATCTGTGGACAAAGGTTAACTATGGTCAAAGGTTAACTGTGGTCAAAGGTTAACTGTGGTCAAAGGTTAACTGTGGTCAATGGTTAACTTTGGTCAATGGTTAACTGTGGTCAATGGTTAACTGTGGACAAAGGGTCAAAGGTTAACTGTGGACAAAGTTAACTGTGGTCAAAGGTTAACTGTGGTCAAGGTTAACTGGTCAGGTTAACTGTGGTCAATGGTTAACTTTGGTCAATGGTTAACTATGGTCAATAGTTAACTGTGGACAAAAGGTGTACTATGGTCAAGGTTAACTGTGGTCAATGGTTAACTGTGGTCAATGGTTAACTGTGGTCACAGGTTAACTGTGGTCAATAGTTAACTGTGGACAAAGAGTTAACTATGGTCAAATGGGTTAACTGTGGTCAAAAGCAACTGTGGTCAAGGTTAACTGTGGTCAAAGTTAACTGTGGTCAAAGGTTAACTGTGGTCAAAGGTTAACTGTGGTCAAAGGTTAACTGTGGTCAAAGGTTAACTGTGGTCAAAGGTTAACTGTGGTCAAAGGTTAACTGTGGTCAAAGGTTAACTGGTCAATGGTTAACTTTGGTCAATGGTTAACTGTGGTCAATGGTTAACTGTGGACAAAGGTTAACTATGGTCAAAGGTTAACTGTGGTCAATGGTTAACTGTGGTCAATGGTTAACTGTGGTCAAAGGTTAACTGTGGTCAATGGTTAACTGTGGTCAAAGGTTAACTGTGGTCGTGTTAATTAAATTTACCTTCACTAACAAACTATGATTTAACAGCCATACGTCGGCTAAAGTGACCACTATAGTCAGTTCTTAAAACAATTCATGATCAGTAGAGAAAAAGAAAAGGGTAAATATGTCCAACAATATTACGTCGTTATTAGGTGACTAAAAATATTTATAAGAGAGAACAGAACACGGCCCATGGCAAGAACAAGGGCCAAGACCGAACAAGGTCCATGGCAGATAACAAGGACCAGGGCAGAACAAGGGCCATGGCAAACAGAGAACAAGGGCCATGACAGAGAATAAGGGCAGTGAAAGGGAACAAGGGCCATGACATGAACACGGGCCATGACAGAACAAGGGCCATGACAGATAACAAGGGCCATGAAACAGAACAAGGGCCATGGCAAACAGAACAAGGGCCATGGCAAACAGAAACAAGGGCCATGACAGAGAACAAGGACCATGGCAAACAGAACAAGGGCCATGACAAACAGAGAACAAGGGCCATGACAGAACAAGGGCCATGGCAAACAGAACAAGGGCCATGACCAATCGAGAGCAAGGGCCATGAAATACGTACTGAGAACTCTGAGGATGGTGATGATCTTCTTGTCCGTGATGGCGGCGAAGCAGGGTAAGTACTTGAGGAAGTCTTCCCAGATTATGCAGGCTGCCGCGTTCCCACAGCTGGAGAGAGAACTGCCGAGGCGATATTGTGGGTCAGTTTATTGTTCACAACCGCGGAGGAGACTGTAGCTTTTTGATATGGTGGTGTTCATGGTAGTGACGTAATACTGCCATACATATAAGAGTGTGGTGTTCATGGTAGTGTCTTAATACTACCATACATATAACAGTGAGGTGCTCATGATAGTGACTTACCTAAGAAGACCACCATATACAGCGGCGACAAATAAGCCGGCCACACCAGGGAGATAATTCAGTTTATCCATCACGAGGTACGGGATGATCTGGTCAGGTTTCTCTATGTAGCCAGCAGTGAGGGGGTCACACTGGCTGTAGGTGGCGTAGGCGACTAGACCGGAGGTGAAGAATAGACTCCACAACACGGCCGATCCCGCCACGAAGATGATACACAGCCTGGACATGAAGAACATCAACCAGGTAACGCGCTAAATATACAGTACAGTGTAGGAATATCACCACGAAAGGAGAGAAACCTTGGCCCTAAGTCATTACTAAAAGGAGACAATATAATGGACACTCACCTAATCGACTGTGGTTGTAAATCAATAGCCTCCGCACATATGCACTGTAGGTATACAAAAGTATCATCTACCAAGTCTCTAATGTCTGAGCGCCTACAGTACTAGACAGCAGGGTGGTACACCTAAAAATACCTAGAACCGGATTATTATTAAAGACTTATCTGAGTATTTCCTCCGAGCTACAGTTACGAGAATGTATCTAATTGTCACACACAGTTTTGAGAATCTGTTTGTGACACAGTCGAGATCAATGAGTCGAGATAAGATTAATAATAAACATACGAATGTTTAAGACTGTGAACTCTGGACAACAAATAACTTTACCTTAGTGCAGTGTTGAGTGAGCTGATAGAAGTAAGCCTCATGAAAGTAAACTGTGTGAAGCCGCCCCAGACGACAACCGTGTAGAAGCCGAGTACCAGAGTTGACCAGAAGGTGTGACGCACCAGAGGGCTCGGGTCCAGGCTGCTCACATACCGTACCGTAACAGTACAACAGTAATTACTTAACTTACACCAATAATTATTATAGTACAAACATTATATTAGTGTACAGTGGAGTCTTTATAAAGAGAACAGTTTATTGAATAACTTACCACATAATGCATTGTACTCCCTCATGTAATGGGCCCCTGTCTCATCAACAGAACATATTATATAAATGAGTCAATACATCTGATATTATATTCAGATTCACCCCCTGTAACTTTCCACTGTCCATGAGTAAGACAAGAGTTGCACACGTGAACGGTAGCTTTCCCAAGAGGGACAAGCCCATATGTCAGCATCTTTGTAAGCGCACACCAGCGACGCTCCTTGCCTCAGTCACTCAGATCAACTACTATCGAACGGATGTGATCTACGTTTATATTTACATAAACGCCGTCCTCTTTCTCGTTCACTCATATACAGTGGAACTTACGGTTGATCTACACTCAGGAATTATAGACATAATCCTTTTATGATAAAACAAAGGAACTTCATTGGGTCTCGTTACTAAAACCCCAGTATATAATTTATGTGAACAACCCGGTTAATTGGGGGATTAACCGACAGATTCACATGATGGCGGCCAGGTGGTTATGGATGCGTTGAACTAGGAGACATACATAGACGTTTGTGTTTTGTGAAAACAGAAAAACACACCGTTACATAATCCGAGTGTTTAAAACTATATCCCGTATTGAGACGATACGTAGTGAGTGCTCCTCATCTCTGACACCCTCAAGAGATGCAGAATTATTTATATAACATACAGCCAGTTTGGTGAACATCCTGTTACTACCAGTGAAGAAACCCCAAAGTCAGCATTCTTCAGTACAGTGTTGCAGATGGTTTCATATTCTGTACTAACAGTTGACATTTCATAAGTAGCTGGACGGTTGTGTGGTGTCGCGAGCATCGATTACATAAGTTCCGGTGTCATCAATCAGTTCTCCATATATACGAGACTACAAAGGTTTGGCACACGGCAGTTACATCGGCAACGGCATAGCAGCGAGAAGACAGCAAAAAATCCATCCGTCATCTATATCTGTTCAGCAGTGGAGGTCATCCCCTATCCTGTAGTGGACTCGCCCATCGTCGAGGTTAGATTCTTTGGCTCACACGGAACTTCTTAGATAATTATCAACGTTTCCAATGTCTAAAGGTGACGAACTTGTACGCCTAACGCATCAATTTGCTGACACTGTACTCATCGATGAGTCAGAAACACAGTCAGTTGATTGGGTAGGAAGTAGTGAGAAAATTATTGAGGAATCATATGACAACTTCAACCGTCGTACCTTAAGGTCTGGAAATCAATATAGTACCTCACCTCAGTATACAAAAGGAGTTACCCCTGTTTCAGGTGATAGTGTGTCTGTTACTAAACCAGTAACAACCTTATTAACCCAGCCTTCTGTTAGGAGTAAGAATACTAACTTGCTTAATACTAACACTCCAATGACTTCCTCCAACCCTCACGCCAGTACTACTACCACATCTAAACCTGATAATGTTATTAATATCATGCAGCGTGGCGACTACGTCCGCAATTTTACAGGCCAAGATGATTTTCGGGTTGCGCATTTCAAACGTGCATGTGAAGATACCAAGCGAACTAGGTAAAATAACAAGTGACGTAGAGAAGAAAGCCTTTGTCCGTTCCCACATTACGCAGGGATCATATGCCTGTAATCATTTGAATGCGTATGGGCTACAAGACCCCAGTTATGAAAAGTTTAAACGCACACTTATGGGAATTTTTGGGTGTAGGTCACAGTTGGGCGATCTACAGTGGGTCTTCAGATGGGTGGACCATTGTACGCCAGTGGTTCACGCCCAGACACCCGTCGTCGCAGTGGACATCGCAGGTGAAGTACTCCAAGATATGGAAGCGACAGTCAGAAGTTCAGGTTGGTACGACCCAGATGGCAAAATGTCAGCGACTAATGTGGAGACGTTAATAGAATTGATTAGCTTTCTGCTAGTTGTTCGTCGTCCCCTGTACATGCGGGCACAATAGGTACAATTTGAACCGCCTATTGATATGGTTGAGTACGCAAACAAACTCTGCCCCACAGCTACAGGTCCACTAATGGCGCAGTCTCCCATGAATACGGCACAGCTTCCCATGTCTAAGGCACAACCCCAGGTACCTCAGATGGCACCCATGACTCCACTCCAAACTCCCTATACGACGCCAATGGCTCCAATTGCACCTCAACACCGGACATAAACAAGGTGCTTCTTCACGCTGTGCTCATTGTAATAAACGTGGCCATGTAATAGAAGACTGTTTTCAGCTCCAAGGTAATAGTGCAAAATTCAAGGACACAACCGGTGCAAAGCCATTCCCAAGGTCATACAGTGAGGCAGCTAAGTCGGCACCTCCACCTACCCAGAAAGCCCGCAAGTGGTGCGCACTACACAAGTCCAAAGCTCATAGTACACAAGAGCGCGGCTTGGTGATGAAGGCTAGGAATTTGGACCTGAGTGAAACAGAGGTGTCATACAAGCGTAAGCAGAAGCGTCCCCAGGACAAGTCGTCAGGGGAAGATCAGCGCTCATCACAACACGGATAGGGATAGGCACAGTATCTCCATCTCCCCACACAGCACTTCTATAGCGGCCTCGTTAGTAGCGGCGCTAAGCGAAGTTGAAGTGTTGTCAGTGCCGGTGAGGGTTGATAATACCAGATTGGCTCTTGATATAGACACAGGTGCTTGCGCTAATGTATTGGCCTTGACATCCTATCAAGAGTTACAACGTAAATTCCCTCACGGAGACTTCATGTGGCGACCTAGTAACGCTGAGCTCGAAGGAGTATCAGGTACTCAGTTGAGCATTAACGGGATGGTGACGTTACCACTCAGATTCTCAAGACGTGGTTCTCCCTTCTACGCGGACTTTTATGTAGTTCAGCAGTTCAATTTGCCAGCTAACGGGTTACTTGGTCTCCCAACCCTTAGAACGAACATGATAGATGTTCATCCATGTAATAATGCTTTTACGTTTAAAGGTGTTTCCTACAACGCTATGCTTCATTCTGAACCTATGCTCACCGCTAGGTCGAGTGTTGTCCACCAATCCCATTAAGAGGAAGGCGGATCATGCGTCAGAGCTACCTCATGACCTCAACCCCTCACTTTCACAGCGTGATTACAGCAGCAACAGTTGGAAGATCGTACCTGCAGTTTTGAAGAGTACTCTCCATTACCAGAATGAGGAATTCACCAAAGCAACTGTCGAATTACCCGACGTGTACACGGGCACTGATGTTGTGTGTCTCCCGGAAACGTGCAAGGTACATAAGAACATAAGAAAATAAGGAGTCTGCAATAGGCCGGTTGGCCTGTGCATGGCAGCTCCTGTCGAGAGTTACTACCACTCTCTATCATCCATGAATCTATCTAGCCTCCTTTTGAAACTTTCCAGAGTTCCCGCACTTACTACAAAGTTGCTAAGCTTGTTCCACTCGTCCACCACCCTATTTGTGAACCAGTTTCTTCCTATCTCCCTCCTAAACCTAAACTTATCCAACTTGAATCCGTTGCTCCGAGTCCTATCCTGCTCGGATATTATAAGAACTTTATCTATATCCCCTTTATTGATTCCTTTCACCCACTTAAATACTTCTATCATATCTCCCCGCACTCTTCGTCTTTCTAGGGAATGCAAGTTAAGTTTCTTTAACCTATCCTGATATGGAAGGTTTCTAAGTCCCGGAATCATTTTTGTCATTCTTCGCTGCACCGACTCTAGTGAATTTATATCCATTCTATAATAGGGGCACCAGAACTGAACCGCATAATCGAGGTGCGGCCTGACTAGCGCCAGATATAGTTGCAATAAGACCTCTGCACTCTTGTTACTTACACTTCTAGATATAAAATCCAATACTCTGTTTGCCTTATTTCGAACATTAACGCACTGTTTCTAGGCCGTAGGTCCGGGCTTACAAGTACCCCTGGGTCTCTTTCACAAGTCGACTTCTCTAGGTTGATGTTGTTAAGGCTGTATACATTATAAGTATTTGTTCTTCCAATATTAAGTACGCTGCACTTGCTGGTGTTGAATTTCATTTGCCATTTTTCAGACCACCCCTGCAGTTTATTTAGATCCTCCTGTAATGCATTTGCATCCTGCCCTGAATTAATTTGCCGCCCTATTATGGTGTCATCCGCAAACTTGCTTATGTCACTGCTGATCCCAGTATCTAGATCGTTTATGTAGATTATGAACAAGAGTGGGCCTAGTACTGACCCCTGGGGAACCCCACTGGTTACACGGCCCCACTCAGATTTAACACCATCTACACTGACCCTCTGCGTTCTATCGGTGAGCCATGATTTTATCGAATTTAATACTTTCCCCTCAATACCATGAGCCTTAATTTTTCTCAGAAGCTTCTGATGCGGTACTCTGTCAAATGCTTTGCTAAAGTCTAAGTAAATAACATCGTAATTTTCGTCATTATCTACTACCTCGAAGACTTTCCTAAAAAACGTTAGCAGATTTGTTAGACAAGATTTTCCCTTTGTAAACCCATGTTGAGAGTCGTAGATTAATTTGCTTTTCTCTAGATGCGATCGGATGCTATCTGCTATGATTGATTCAAGAAATTTCCCCACTGCTGACGTCAAACTGATCGGCCGGTAATTTGATGCTGTTGCTCTGTCTCCCTTTTTGAATGTGGGTACTACATTTGCCTGTTTCCACAAGTCTGGCACAACTCCAGTGTCTAATAATTTTGTAAAAAAGTTTACGAGGGGTCCACTAATCTGTTCCCTACACTCTTTCAAGACTCGAGGGAAAATTTCATCTGGCCCTGGGGATTTTGTTTTCTTTAGTTTATTTATCTTCTTAAGAACATCCTCTTTTCTGATAGTGATATTCTTTAATTTCTCTTCTTCCTTTCACTTAAATATCAGTTCCACCTTTGGAATTTCATCACAAATTTCTTCTGTGAAAACTGATAAG